CCTCTGCTCGGCCCCGCCCCTCTGCTCGGCCCCGCCCCTCTGCTCGGCTCCGCCCCTCTGCTCGGCTCCGCCCCACCGGGTACACTGCAGGCTGTGCCCTGTCGTGCTCCCCGCTGGCTCTGGTCTGGGGAACCAATGAATTGCCTGGACATCTTGGGACCACTGCCTTTCCAGCAATCCCCAGATTGACCTCACTTTGCAATTGCTCAGCTCTTCCCGGAAATTGCCTTCCACACATTTTCTTCAGTAGCAAAAAATGCATTTTCCTGCTGGAGTGTTTAAAGCTCACTATTCTTTCCTTGGACAGGAAGACCAACAGCTGCGCAGTTTGCCGTGTATACTGTGCACCCACTTTTTTTACCTAAACTTTCAGGGGGAAAAAAAAATCTTCCGTTTTAATTCAAAAAAAATTTTTTTTTTAGCTGAGCCATCCTGCCACCTGTTGGCAGCTCAGCGACTGCTCAGCTCCGGCCGGGACTCGAACTGCTGTTGCTCAGAGCTCAAACTCTTGAGCGAGCTCTTAACCAACTCGGCCACTCGGCCGGCCCTTTAATTCAAATTTTTATTTGTTTACATTATGTACTTGTTTTTTGTATTATAAAGGAATTTTAGCATTTATTTTTTAACATTATGGTACAAGAAATTTTATGTAACAAATAACTACAAAACACAAGAACAGATATAAGGTATGAGAAATTTTATGTATTGGTAACAAATTTATGATATTTACACATCATAGAAGGCCAAGAACTTTTCGTCATTGCCAGTTTGTCTTAAGTTCAACAAAACCGATTATCGTATTTCAGGGTATTCTTTTGTATATGGATATCGTTATTGATTTCTAGAGTTACACTTTTAACTCATAAGCATAAATAAAATAATTAAAAACATTTATATAAATATGGAATTAGTGCTACCCATGTATGATGTGCATCCTTATTTTTCCCTCATAAATTTGGGCAAAAACGTGTACATTGTACATGACAAAATACGGTATATAGTAAACTGTTCCCTCTAATGATGACTGGTTCTGAGCAGGTTAGGATAGATGGTTGTTGGTTTTTTTGTTGGCTTGTTTTGGTGGTCTAGCTGGAGTTCTGTATATTTAACATCATTATTTAACACTATTTTAATATTTTAGTTCATTGAAGGGAAAATTATCTTCCTGTAACATAACAAATTTTATAAGTTCTGAAGACTTTTTCAGACTGGTGTTCCTCACTTCTTTACCAAGGAAAACTGTGGGACATCTTCATGAAATAATACATTTAACGTCTCTGGTGGCAGCTACACAACCATTTTCCAGCAACATTATTTGTTTAAAGGTTATGGGGAAAAAGCTTTAAAATACAGTAAATGTTTTTATATTTTAAATATACTATATATTAAATGTTCTTAGCAAGAATGTGTGAAAATACACAGACAGGAAAGACCAAACATCAGAAAACAACTTGCCTATTGAGAGTTGTGGGTGGTGGTCAGAAGGCCCAGCTTTGAGTCTTTCAATATGAGACTGTCGCTGCCCACTGGTATGTCTCCTCCTTCCTCAGATTTCAGATGTGCTGCTCTTTCTTGTCATTGCTGTGAGTTATTTATAATTTACCTTTACTTCTCAGCCTCCTTCTAGTCAAAAGCAAGAAAAGGACATTAAAAAGAAGAAGGTGGAAAGCGGGCCCAACAGTGAGGTAAGTTGTTGCTATGGAAGTAACAGAAATTACTACCTGTAGTTAAAATATTCTTATATAGTTAATTACCCAGGGTTTTAAAATTAAAACATGATTACTAATTAAATTACCACTTGGGGCACAGTAGTATATTTAAAACTTTGCACTCCTTAGATACAAGATGGCTTAACTTAGAGATGAGCTAGCCACACAGCTATAAAGTGCCCCTTAGTCTGTATAAGATGAGATAGTAGAGCTCTCCCTTTGTGTTAAGTGAACTGGCTACTATGCTTCTTTTAAATATAAATCATTAAAACAACCAAAGAGTATTTATCAAGCATCAGCGTTTGGTAGGAGCAAAGGAGGAATATGTGGCCTCAAAGGGATCAGTCTGGTTGAGGGGTTCAGACAAAAGCAGGCGGAACAACTAGAGAATAAAGTACGATGGTTCTAAGTGCTGAATTGTGCAACTGTGTACATGTGTGTTAAAAGGGAGATGCCATTGGGTGTAGTAGTGACAGAAGGTGGACTCTGAGCTGGACTATGAGAGCTAAGAAGGAGATAGTGGAGAGGAGACTTCTGAAAGTGAGTGAGAAGTAGAGTGACAGAGGCTGGAACTGGCGATGACCCTGAGAAGGGGGTGGAACTTATTTAGAGCTGAGCAGTTAGGGAAAAAATGGGCTGTGTATGTTAACCTTAGTGTATTCTAATGATTTTCAGGTGAAAAATCAATCAAATTTCATAAACGAAAGATTGAAGCTTTTTGAAATGTTGAAGAAAGAGCATCAGCTGTTATCTGCCGTTTATGAAAAAAAGGGGAATACAAGTAATACGATCAGAGTAAGACTGGCTGATGGGAAAACAGTGGAAGGGGAAGTTTGGAAGACAACACCTTATCAAGTGGCTGCTGATATTAGGTAAACCATAATTTGTAGAAGGTATTCTGTCTCATCAGAAGTATTTTCTAAGAATGTACCCATTGACTCCAGACTTAGTCACCTGGCCACACGTGGCCACATCTGGCTACAAGGAAGGCTGCGTCATGCTTACTGTAGGAGAGAATGGATTTGAGGAACCCTTAGCAATCTGTCATGACCTCATAATAACTATATCTAACATTTATTAAGTTCTTGTTATGAGTATGCTGTATTTAATCCTTACAATTGGTGTATGGGGAAGGTCCTATAATCCTTATTTTACAGATGAGAAACCTGAGCTTAGCATGGCTGAGTAAATAGTCCAGTGTTTAAACTCAGGTCGGTCTGACACCAGAGTGTACACTCTTAACCACAGTGTCACTCAGGTTACTCACAGATGCAAAGGAAAACGTCACGTTTAAAGATGACACCATTTAGTAGTACCTAGCATTGTGAAAGCACAGAGGAAAGGTACCCTTGCACCTTTCCTGGTAGGAAAGTGTGGCAGTATATCCTGACAAAAGTCATTAAAAGTGCATTTCCATTGGCCCAGCAGTTTTACTTGTAGAATTTTTCCTTCTAGAAAAATATAATTGGATACTAAGATGTATATTTAGGAGTGTTCTTTGCAGCATTATTTGTTATTGCCAAAACAAAACAAAGAACAAAACCCACAAAGAAATAACCAAAATGCCCAGCAATAGTGGGTTCATTAAGCAAGTGTCGGTTCCACTGCAACCGTTAGGTAGCGTGGTTTAGAAGTCTGTCTACTGTTAGGGAAAGTGTGACTTAATTTAAATTTAAAAAGTAGCTTATCCAAATAACATACACAGAATGATACTATTAAAGATTTTATATTGGTGTATACATTTATCAAAAAAAGTAGAAGGACAGACAGCAAATAGACACACTAATTTCTGGGTGATGGGATTGAAGGTGATTTTTTTTTCTTTGTGATATTCTGTGCTTTCCAGGTTATTTTTGTCAATAATTTTTAAGCAATAAATGTTATTTAACACATACAAAGATCAACACCTCAATAGAAAGTAGGAGAAAGACATGAACAGTTCATAAAAGTAAAAATGGCCAGTAAATACAAAAATTAATCATCAAATAAATCAAATGAAGACAATAATTTCCAAATTCACATTGGCAAAGATTTAAAAAATCTTTCAGGATGTGTGGAAGTGGTACCCTTAGGTAGAATTTATCAGAAGTCTTTCAAAGCTCATATCCTTTGACCTAGCAGCTCCACTTCCAAGGGCTTATTCCCAGAAAAAAGTCACAGATAACACAAAGGTGACTGTGCATAGATGTCTGTGCAGCTTCTTCCTCGATAGCAAAACAGACAGGTGACCTAATACTTCTAGACTCTTGGAAGTCTATCTGATGGTGTGGTTGTGAAAAAGCAGGCTACAAAATTAGGTTGGCAAGTATGTTTTAAATAAAATAGATGCGTGCGTGTATGCATGTGTGTGTGTGCGCGCGTGTGTGTGTGTGTGCGTGCGTGTGTGTGTTTGTGTGTGTTAGGGGTGGGTACAGAAAAAGACTAGAAAGACGTACTACAATGAGTAGTTATCTCTGGGTGGTGAGCTGTATATATGATCTTTATTTTATTCTTTGTGCTTTCTCTTTTCCAAGTTTTGTTTACAGTGAACATATAATATTACTTTTGTACTTAAAATAAATGTTACAAAATTAAAAATATCTGTCCTATTAGTTCAAATTTGAACTTTCTATTCACTTAAAAATAAGAGACCAACCCTGGGAGTTATTTTAACCTTTTGTTTTGACGAATCATTGTGATAGCGTGTGATCAGGTTAACTGTCAAATGACTTCTCTCACTAGTCAAGAACTGGCTGAAAGCACAGTAGTAGCCAAAGTCAATGGTGAATTGTGGGACTTGGACCGTCCACTGGAGGGGGATTCCAAGCTGGAGCTGCTCATGTTTGATAATGAAGAAGCTCAAGCTGTAAGTATTTCACGACCGACAACCGCACTTGGCTATTTATGTTGTAAACGCCATTATGTGTGAAGTCACATGTTGAAGTCAAGAACGACGACTTTTGTAATCTCCTAAGATTCAAAATCTCTATATTGATGTTTAATAAATATTCAATAGACTCTTAAAAATGGACCAACCTTATAATTTAAGAGGTATAGGAGAATTGGAAAAAATATAAAAACTCAAATGTCCTTTAAATACTTATTAATGTACTAGTCTATAAAATAGATACCACATTTGCATGTAGGTCTCTGATACACATTGTCACCTTAACTTTGGAGTCTCCCTTCAAGCGGTCCATTATCTGCATAAAACCTAACCTATGATTAGCTTAGTTTGCATTCATTGTGATGCTTATGCTAAATTTCTTGATTTATTAATCCATGCTATAAGAACCATATTATAATTCCTTTCTTTTTAAAATATGCAAAATATAACCATTAAACAGCTAAATAATATAATACTAGTAAAACTATTTTAAAAGTGATTCAGTAAACCATTTTTAAAAGAAAGAAGTAGCTTGCATGTGTTATTTCGTTTTTGTCACTAGTCGCTGATGGCTGTTACCTACCTTCATTCCAGCTGTTGTAAAATGTTGTTTATTCCCTCAGTCAGCTGACCAGTATCCAAGGCGCTGGATATATGTCCTGGAACCTGTGGGGCCCCCACTTGAGAGCGTTTACACCTAGTGGGGGGAGGTAGTCAACAGGAAACAGACAGCTGTGTGCTTTCCGGTCGGTTGGGTCAGCCTCTGGAGAAAGAGCTGAGACAGGCCTGGCGGTCAGTGCTAACCCTCTCCTGTGGGCATCAGCCAGCCAGGCACCTTCTCGTGCTGGCGGGCTCTCAGTTTACCTGCGGGCATCACTGAACTCTCCCAGTCTGGCAGGTGGTGGGTGGTAGGGGTGGGGCCTCTTTGCAGGGGCAGTGTGGGGGTCTTTGGGGTTCTCTCCTCCTTGCATTTAATGACATCATGGAAAACCCCACACTTATTATTACGGGGAATCTGTAACATGCCAAAGCAGCACGCCGCTGGTAGCCCTGATACTGACAGGGTACCTGGCATCTCATGGTCAGCCCCCATAATATGTGTGGTGGTCGATGGAAATGAGAGTGGTGATACACATTTAGGGAGTGCTGCTGTGTGCCAGGTACCGGCCGCGTCCCTCATGCGCATCGTGTCCTCCAGTCCCAGGTACCCGGCCACACAGGCACTGTCTCAATCCCTGTTGTACAGACGAAGCAGCCAGGGCTCAGAAAGGTTAGATCATGCTTCCAAAATCTTGGAAGCAAACTTACATAAGAACGAAGCTGCTAGTTCTGCGATGTGCTCCTATGTTCAGTGGCCTCTCCTGGGGTGTCACAGCATGAGTCAGGTGGCACCTGTTTTCAACAGCTACTCCCCCCAGCCTGTGAATTCTTCAGCTGTATAACAGTTAACCACTCCCCTTTTAAGGTTCTCTGTAGCACCAAAGCCTTCTTGGCTTTATCCTCACCTCTGGTCATTCTTTCTCAATCTTCCTTGCTGGCCTTTTCATCTTTGTCTGCCTCCAAATGTTAAGAATTGCTCAGTGCTCAGTCTTGGCCTCCTTCTGTCTTTATACTCCCATCCTAAGCTATCATGTCCGTCTATAAACTGGCAACTCGCAGCTCTTCTCTCTGTAGCAAAACTTGCCTCCGTCTTGCATCTGCTGCTGCCCATGTGATATCTCCATCCAGATACTGTACAAGCATCTTCAGTTCAGTATGTCCACAGTGAAATTCTCTAACCCCCAACTCCCTTCTCCCCTGTCTCCCCATCTCAGTGTACCATATACCCAGTTGCTCACCCCAGCATCTTGGAGGTTGTATGTAGTTATTATACTTTCCCCTCAACTCCAGTCTCATTGATTGATAAGTCATTGACTTTCATAATGTATCCGGAATCTGTCCACTTCTGTCCATCTCCACTGCCACTACCCAAGACACTGCCTGCCTGCTCTCTCCTTCCCCTGAAATCTAGTCCACACTGCTATCAAGTTTTAAAATGGAAATTCAGTCATTTCTTTTCTGCTAAAAACTCTCCAATGGGTCCCATGGCATTTAGAAGAAAAGCCAAATTCTTCCTCAGGGCCTGCACAGGTCGCTGGCCCCTTCTTACCTCTCCAGCCTGGCTCAGGTGACTCTGTTCCTTCCCCTGCGTCTTAACCATGCAGACCTTCCTGACTCTCCGGGGGAGCGGAAGCAGCGCTGTTACTTTGTATTTCATGTCCTGCTCATCCCGGCATAAGTAAGTCCTCTTCTCATCTTGGGATGGTGCACTCACCGGCTTATTGCCCACTGCATGAGGCTGTTTCTTTCATTGTATCCTCAGCACCTAACAATGTTCGCTCAGTAAGCACCAGGGTGTGGACCGTGTGCTGAAGAGACTTCCGCTGATGCTGTCAGGCAGCCTGCCATCCCAGCACCACCCAAAGGGCGGGGTCTGCCCCAAGGATGAGCCTCTGGGTCTGTTTCCTGATGCTGTGGGTCAGACTGGCACAGGGTCTGCTCCATCGGCCAGCTCTCTGCTCCGATCTATTTCATCAAACAGCTTTCTAGTTGTAACTTGTTCCCTTAAATAGATTATAGTTAACTAAGGGAAATAAAGTGCTGCCAGAGGACTCGATTGTCTTTTTCCTTTGGCACCTGTATATGTTTGGTGACTTCGGTTAGTTTTACTTTATCCATAAACCATTGATTCCTTGGGAATTCAAAACCAAATCAACTTTCTGAACTTGTT